TAAAGATTCTTATCCTTTAACTAGAATCGATCAAACTTTAGACAAATTGACTGGCAATTCTTGGTTTCCTACTTTAGATTGAAAAAATGGTTATTGGCAGGTCAAAATACGTGAAGAAGATCGGGAAAAAGTGCTTTTTCAATCAGTAACGGTTTGTGGCAATTTGTCGTTATGGCTTTTGATTATTTAATGCTCCCGCTACTTTTGAACGATTAATGAAAAAAGTTCTTCGAAATATTTTTGACGATATTTATTTAATCTATTTGGATGATATCATGGTTATGGTTAAATCATTCGATAATATGATAGTTAACCTTAAGACTGTTTTCTTAACTTTTTTTGGCAGTCAAATTGAAAATTAAACAAAAAGAAATATAATTTTTTCCAACGTAAAGTACAATATCTTGATTATATAGTGTCTGAATTCGGAAAGAAAACGGATCCTAAGAAAATTGAAACGATAACCCAATGGCCAACACCAGTAAATAAAGACCAATTTAAAAGTTTTACTGGATTGTACTCCGATTATAGACGATTCATCAACGAGTTCTCTTGTATAGCTTATCCTTTGTATAATTTAGCAGATCATAAAGATGTTTTTGTTTGGACGAATGAATGCCAAACTGCATTTTTTAATTTAAAAAAAGCTCTATCTTCCCCGCCTATTTTAGCTTTTCCTCGTTAAGACCCTCCTTTTTTCCTAGAAACCGATGCTTCTAGTCATGGCACAGGCTCCGTCCTCTCCCAAACATAGGATAATAAAGAAGTAGTTATAGGATATTATAGTCGTATTTTATTTAAAGAAGAAAAAAATTATTGTGTTATTCATCGCGAATTATTACATCGCGACTCCGTAAAATATATTCATCACTATCTATGCGGTCGAATCTTTCTTCATCAGAACTGATCAACTGATTCTGCTTTAACATAGTTACTTTTAGTTATAGATTTAGATGGTCAATTAGCGAGATGAATAAGAAAACTCGATTAATACGATTTTAAAATTTATATCATAAAGGCGTTTCTCATACTAATGCAGATGGACTTTCCAGGAGATCCTGTAGTAATTCATCTTGTACTTATTGCTCTAAAGTAGAAACTAAATTCTCGTACAATAATTATACTGTAGCTCGTATTCTTTTTGAAGAAATTTCATTGAGTATTTGGCGAAATCGTTAACATCAAGATGACATCATTAGAACTATTTTAGATTACAAAAAAAATAGGATCAGACTCTTATGGAAAGATGTCTCTTCAAAAACTTAGTCTATAAAATCATACTTGTCGCAATGAAATTCACTGTTGATTATAGATGATATCTTATATAAGGAATGAATTTCTTCGAATTTAAAACTTAAAGTTCTTCAGTTAATTGTACCCAAAAATTTTGTTAATTTCGTTTTAGACGAAGCTCATGATTCTTCTTCAGGTGGTCATTTTGATATAAATAAAACCTTAGATAAAATTCGTAAGAGATTCTATTGGACATCCTGCAAAAAAGATGTTAAAAATAAGTGTAAATCTTGCTCCATGTTTGTCAGAAAAGGTCCATCTGATAAAGGCCACAATCAGATGAAAATTTATAATGTAGGATCATCTTTTGAACGACTTCAAATGGATATTTTAGGCCCTTTCCCAATTTCTTTTTTATGAAATAGGTACCTCTTAGATATCACTGATTGTTTTACAAAATGTGTAGAAGCCTTCCCTCTTTCTAATATGTGAACAAAAACTATTGCAGAAGTATTTGTTCGTGGAGTTGTGTGTCGATACGGAGTTCCTATAGAAATTCACACTGATCAGGGTACAAATTTTGACGCTAAATTAGTGAAAAAACTATCCAATTTGTTAGTTATTACAAAAACAAGAACAACATCCCTTCACCCACAATCAAACGGACAAGTGGAAAGACAGAACAGAACAATACTCAATCACTTATCCAAATACATCGCAAAAAACCAAAAAAAAATGGGATCGTTGGATTTCCTTGTATCTTTTGGCTTACAGATCTTCGACCCACACTACAACTAAACCTCCACCAGCGGAAATTTACACTGCCGGTCACCTAGTATGAGATAAAATTAGTCAAAAATTTAAGGTTCAATGTCTCTGGTAAAAATTAATGAACAGAGTCGCTCGGCGGCGCGTTTGAAAGGACTTTCCAAAAGCTTTCAAATGATATGACTTATGGATACCATCGATTGTTTTTTAATCTTTTGCAAGCAATAATTCAACATAGAAAATTCCGAAAATTTTTTGCTAACTTTGAAAATTTACGAAATCTGAAAAAAAATTCATACAAAAATTTGAGTTAAAGCACTTTTTAGCTTTTATCAAGCTCTATCTGAATCATTGGTTAAAAAATAGTTTTCGTCAAAATCGACGCGCGCATGGGAATTTTTTTCGGGAAGTGACAATTTTTTAAAATATTTTTTATCTCCGTAAATTCTAAAAATTCAAAAAAATGAATAGAATAAAAAATATTTGCTTCTGCAAGTGGAATACTGTACTATTTTTTTTTTTAGTTTTCGACAAAGTTTTTGTCGATTAAAAAAAAAATTTTTCACAGCTAGTACGCTAAAAATATGAAAAACTACATTAAATTTATTTTTCACTTATTTAATATTATTCCATAATAATTGTTATGAACTTTTTTTTAGTCTTCAAAAAAATTATCTTTTTTTTGCAAAATTCATGACATTTATCTATCATATCGTATTCTACATCTGATACGTGGATGTCCTCCTACTTCAGAAGAATCATCGAATAACAGCTATATATAAGAAATTAAATCAAAACTAAACACTATACATGATTTAGCTCGACATAACATCGCCATTACTTCTCAGCGAACGAAGAAAACCTATGACAAGACAGCTAGACACGTTAATTTCAAAGAAAACCAAAATATATGGTTCTTCAATCCTCGTCAAGTGAAAAGGAAGATACCGAAACTTCAGACAAGTTGGGAAGGACTATATAAAATCATTAACGAGATCAACGATGTAGTTTTTTGCATCCAACAAACACTAAAACACAGGAAGAAGATTGTACACATTACAGATTAGCAACATACTACGATAGGTAATTCGCTTACTCTTCTTCCTTCTCACGATATTTTTAACTGTGGTTTTCTTTCCGTGAGACATAGAGCAAATGCCAGAGTAATAGACAAGGTGAGGCTCACAGCATGTTAATTCGCCACACTTGGAAAAATCCAACACATTATACACAGCATTACACAACGAATTCAAGGTTCAAGATTCAAGATTGAAGCTTTCCAAGATACGGGCTTCTACAGAAAAATAAACTCGCCTAAAATAACCGATATCTTAGTACAAGATTCGAATTTTTGCATTCAAGTTTTCTGAATATCTTTATAGATTGTCGAGATAACAATCTAAAAAAACCGAAGATAATATAATATATTCGATATAATCTCTCCTGAATGTTTGGTTGATAAGTACTTTTGTTTTTTAGACTTAGTTATTTATTATTTTTCCAGTCAGTTGATACGGCGAATTGATTCTATATACATTGTTTCTGATTTAATAAATATAGTCTAGTTTCTATAAGTTTGTATTTCGTTGTAATCATTTAATAGTGACTACAACAATATATACACACACACTCACACACACACCAATATACATTATACTTGCTAAACATTCTCCTATTTTTTCACATTCATATGTACATAATGCATAATTTAAGTAGACTCAAAATTTCTGAAAGCTCGGAGCAGCGATCAGCTGCTTCGTGATAATTAAAAGTCACGTTCAACTGTCACACCGACGCACAGTGGTTCATTTTAGCCGTTTTTGTGTCAAAATTCCCTCCGCAATCCAATTTTCACTAAAAATAGGTAATTTTTTTTTAAATACTGATTATACTTTGTACTTTGAAAAAATGATGATACAAATCCGAAATAACTAACCTCCCGATATCAATCGCTAATAATAGCACACTATTTTAATCCTTTTTCAAAATCAAGTAACCACCTTAAATCCAACTAAATAACCTGATAACTAATAACCAATTAACTGGATATTTGGGTTATTGGGTTATTGTGTGTATGTTTTAGACAACAGTTCGCTTCTTTTTTTTTTTTTTTTATTTAACGTCGCTCTATTTATGCTCCATCAGTGCTAATCAGCGACGGAGGCTTGCAATGTGTTTGAGAACAAAGCACATGAAACTTTTTTCAGTGGTGCTTGTATCAAACAGCAGGAACTGGGAATCGAACCCGGGCCTACCGGGTGCGAGTCCGTCGCCCTACCGACCGAGCAATTGCAGGCTTCAGTTCGCTTCAATTTACAAGTTTATTTCCTATTAATAAAAATTTTCAGATGAAATTTCATTATTTTTGAGTAGAGAAGACATTTATAATCCAATTTTAGGTTATGTACTGATTTTTCAGAAAAAATATACAGATTTATTCAATTAAGAAACTATAAAATATATTTGAGGATAGACTTCAATTGATTTAAGTTGATTTCAGTCGGGTAATCGATTTTGAAAAACGATTTTCTCAAAATAGCGCGCTATCATTAGCAGCTGTTTTCGGAAGCTAAAATATTTTGAATTTGTAGCACCATTCTCTCAAGGATCAAAGTATAATGAGTATTTAAAAAAGAAATTACCAAATTTGAATGAAAATTGGCCTGCCGAAGGAATTATGACACAAAAACGGTTGAAAATTCCCACTGTGCGACGTGTTGATATTTATGGTAAATACCTAAAAGTCGAGTTGTGACTCGGCAGGACAAACGTTGTCTGGATGCTTATATCTTAACTCAGGACTTCACATAATTATTGTTGAACTGATGAAATAAGAAAATGTACTCTTAAAGTAGGAAAAATGAATTAAATACATCATTGATTGAAAGAAATAATACATTCTAATCAGAATGATCATATAGCTTAGAAATGTTAGCATATCATGAACTATGTATTTTGAAAATTTTTCTATTTTCGATAATATGGATTACTATACATACCATCTACACTAGATCTGACGACTGCTGGTATTGCAACAGAGACAGACTCCATATTTCCTTTCTCAATATTGTTAGTTTCATGTTGCATAATAGTTGCTCTAGAATAAATAAATAAATAAATAAATATCTATATATATATATATACATGGATTCATAAAAAATTATAATTTTTCATACACACACATACACGTACAGAGGCCTATTTTGTAAATAAGGAAGTATTATAAAATGAATGAATCTATCCATATGAGGTGAAATTCCTTTATTAAACCAGTTAAACAAAATAGATTATTAATACATCAGTCTATGTTTGGTCCCGTAGAAGAGCAATCGTGTTTGCGTTGGGTTCTATTCTAAAAGCTAATGTATTAGCCAATCAAGTAAAATAACAGTTATTTTTAATTTAGCTTTCAACCTCATAATAAAACAGAGAAAACAGCCAGAACGGCCATTCAAATAAGAAACACTATATCTAATCTCACCAAAAGAACACTACAAAGTAAAAATCAAAAACAAACAAAAATAAAATACAAGCTTAATTATTTAATTAATGTCTAACAAATAACCCTACCCAACTGTCAAACACCGATTGCAACTAAAAGCTGTATATCGATAAAACATAAAAAATATTAAATCCGTGTCTTTTTGTTTTTGTTGAATCCACTTCCTAGGAGTAGAAATCACCCCTACCAAACAACAATTAGGCTAATCCATCTTGCACTAGATACAACGAGTTCAGTCTATAATTGTTCTTTAAATAATTACATTCTAATAGTCCGGTCATTCTGGTTCCAAAAAAAAATAGATCTATATTTTTTGGAAACAGCGAGATTTTTTTTTATTTCGACGCGGAATAATACGTAGATAATGGCAAAAATAGTTTTGATTTCCAAAAGTTTCCGGAACATTATTTCATTAACGATTTATTGCAAAAAAAGGCACTTTTTTCAGTTATTCGCTTATATCTTTTTTTCCTAATTATCTTATCGATATAAGCTCAACGAAATTCGATTCCTGAGATAATTCTACATAAGGATAGCGTGTTCGAAAATTAAATTTTTTTTATTAATAACAATATCTTGGGTTGTTTCCAAGATTGCAAAAAAAAACAGTCGCTTATATATTCTTTAATTTTCAATAAATTTTGTCTAAACTTTCAGGGCCGATACATCTTTAAAAAGTGTATAATAGGAAGCCGGTCTGATTTTTCAAAAGTTAGTTGTTTACGAGCTAGAGCATGACAAAGTTTCAACTTTGACGGTGTACCGCGGCCGTCTTGGCCAGATTTCGAAAAAAAGACCAAATAAGGACGATGAAATCTTGTGACACTGGTGACTAAAACTCTAACGCGTTATGGGGAATGGTAATTCCCATAAGCAATGCAAAGGCCCGTGTCCAAGCGTCGTATCACAAATTATTTTTAAAGGGGAAGGTAAGAGAGGCTCTTTCGCTCCTCTGAACGATAGCGATGGGCCTCGTCATTAAATTAGCGTTTTAGGCTTCAGCTTGAGAGGAAAGGAATGTAAGACGTACACAATAATCACTTGCGATAAACGTTAACAATATTTTTTCTCGACTTTTAACAATAAAGAGCGACGACGCGAGTTCAAGCTTCGTTCTTAACGCCGCGTGCCTGCGCTCGTGCGGACAATCGCACGGGGCCACGTTACAATGATTTGAGAGAATACAAAGAAGGGACTCGTTACAATTATGGAAGAAGATCGCGACTACTTCGCCGACGCGTCGCGCACTCGCGGATGTAGAGAGAAAGAGATAAGGAGAAAGAGAGAGACAACCTGACCTGGTGAGGCTGTTGGCAAGAATCGCCGCTGATGCTGTTGCAGGAACTGTTGCTGGTAGTTGCTGGCAGAAATCACTCCAGGAACTACAGGCAGGAAATACTGCTGGACTGCTGGCAGGCTCGGATGTGGCTTCCACGATGCTAGCGTCGTTGGAAGTCCTCTCTCCTTGCTGCCAACTGCTAATCGTCCTCTGCTTTTTTGTATGAATTGTTCTCTTTCACGTGCGCACGCTCGGCCGTCAAACGATCCGTCTAACTCTGAATCTCGGCTCGAACTCTCTCCTCTAATCGTTCGCGCGTCGGCTCGAGCAACGCCGGCGGCTTCGCTTTCGCGAGCGGATCACCACGGGTCACTCGCGTTCGCTTACTCTCTACTCGCGACGCATTATTCTCTCTCTCTCCTTCTTGCCGAAGCCGCTCTCGTTCCCAATTGGCTCCTAATGACGATGCCCGGCTCAGGTATTGGTTCTGAAGTAAAGCGGTGCAAGCATCGGTATCGGTTCGTAATTTCAAAGGCTCGCCAGGGCAACAGCAAAGGAGCGAGGCTACGAGAGAGAGAAAGAGAGCGAGCCAGACGGGGCCGGCTATCCTAGTCAGAGTCCCGTCACAATCTATCGGTAGAATAAATTTGATAATTTTTCGATAATTAGTTTCCGAGAAAAAGACGAAAGACCGAAATTGCTTAATTGTAAAATAGAATTTAACAATGAAGCATTAAACATATTGGAATCTAATAAAATTCATTTGATTGGCAACTGAAAGACCTTTCATTTAAAAAAAAAGGATCTTTCGACGATAATTAGAAGCCGAAATATTATTATTTTGGTTTTTAATCCATAACTCGTCTTGTTCATAACTTTTATCAAATTTAATTGTTGATTTAGATTTGAGAAGAATTTACCTATACGCTGAATTTTTTTAAGCTATGCAGGATTTTCATTTCTATAAGCAAAGTTAAATGTAACAATTGGAGCGCACCGCGTGGCCGCGCGCGCCCGCCGCGGCAGTGGTGGTCAGGGGAATGTTCCTCTCCTTACGGCTTCGAGGCTTAGAGTTACCTTAGTTGCATAATTAATTTACCCCAATTCTAAATATAGTAGAATTTTTTTTTTTTTAAGTATTTTTTTCTCTACATTCTAATTCTTTTATCAGAATTTCATTGAATATCGTCTATCCTGCCCAATTTGCAATATAAAATATAAAAATTAATATTTATTGAAATTTAGTATTTTTTAATATGAATCCCATACAATTTTACACCCATTTTATGTAATTTATAAAAAAAAAAAAATTAGGTTATAAGACGAAAAAAATCATAATTTCCACTTAAATTTATAGTAAAAAAAATCTTTTCTATCTCAAAGGTATTTTCGTATGCTACTTGAATCTATAATAATATTTTTATAGTATATTCTATTTAATGGGGAAGTTTCACATTCAAAAATATAAATAATCTTTTTCACGATTATTTTGCATATTAACTTTGCTTATAGAAATGAAAATCCTGCATAGCTTAAAAAAATTCAGCGTATAGGTAAATTCTTCTCAAATCGAAATCAGCAATTAAATTTGATAAACGTTATAAACAAAACGAGTTACGGATTAAAAACCAAAATAATAATATCTCGGCTCCTAATTATCGTCGAAAGAACCTTTTTTTTTAAATGAAAGGTCTTTCAGTTGCCAAATGAATGAATTTTATTAGATTCCAATATGTTTATTGATTCATTGTTAAATTTTATTTTACAACTAAACAATCTCAGTCTTTCGTCTTTTTCTCCGAAATTAATTATCGAAAAATTATCAAATTTTTTCTACCGATAGATTTCATCGTCCTTATATGGTCTTTTTTTTCGAAATCTGGCCAGGACGGCCGCGGTACACCGTCAAAGTTGAATCTTTGTCAGACTCTAGCTCGTAAACAATTAACTTTCGAAAAATCGGACCAGCTTCCTATTATACACTTTTTAAAGATGCATCGGCCTTGAAAGTTTAGACAAAATTGATTGAAAATTAAAGAAGATATAAGCGATTGTTTTTTTTTGCAATCTTGGAATCGAATTTCGTTGAGCTTATATCGATAAGATAATTAGGAAAAAGATATAAGCGAATAACTAAAAAAAGTGACTTTTTTTTGCAATAAATCGTTAATAAAATAATCTTCCGGAAACTTTTGGAAATCAAAGCTATTTTCTCATTATCTACGTGTTATTCCGCGTCGAAATAAAAAGAAATCTCGCTATTCGCAAAAAATATAGATCAATATACTAGAATGACCGGACTAAAATCATAAGTGTGTTCATCAACCTTTCCCTAACCCACCTTTACCCACTTATTCCTAAACCCAGCTAGTCCTTAAAAACCATCTCTTCTGAATAGTGAGAAGGTTAACCTAACATTGGGTTGGCTAACTTAACGTTGGGTGCACCTAGTTCAATAGGTTATTTTTCTTCAAATAATTAAATTCCACGCCTGAAACTATTCAACCGACCTCATCACTTATCAAGATGTTAACATTTTCGTTAACGCAGTTAACAGCAAATTTAATCACTTGTTTTTTCTTTTGCCTCACATGTCTCGGTGATTATTATTATTATTATGTAACAAAACTCTATCCTTTGTTACCAATTCTTTTGCGGGGTAAGTGAGGCACTTTCGCTCATGACTATTGAGGGAGAAGAACGAGGGGAGGTTGATAAATAAATTATACAAAGACAGGAATCAAATCTCACTTACAACCTATTATTATTAATAATTATTCACACTGAACATACGCGCGCATAACATAATCTAAATTACCGACCAACAAACTGCAAATAGAACAATAAACTACTTAACCCATTAACGTCCAAAATGTCAAAATTTCTTGCACGTTTTCAAAGTGATTTTTTCCTATGTAATTGGCGTTGAAAAAATTCTTGAACCACATATTCTGATGTAAAATTGCATGCTCTTTCAGAATCCGTTGCCAGAATCATGATAAAACTCACAGGAAAAGAGATATGCTCGATTGATACATAAAAAACACCTAAATTTTCGAAAAAAAAAATTTTTAGGATTTTTTTTCGAAGTGTTACGGTGAAGATATCACCTTGCGACCGTGATCAAAGGTGATCATGGGATTTGAAGTTTAACAGGGAATTTTTTTGTTTACCTTGAACCATCGCTTCTTTACAAAATGGCGGAAAAAACGAATTTTTTTTTTTTCAATCTTCATCAACTTTTTTCTCAAAATCTATGGTCTTTAGAAAAAAATTCATAAAAACAAAAATGCCTTAGAATCGCTCGAGCAACATT